AAAAAAAAAAAAAAAAAAATCACATTAAAAATTATTTAAAATTTTTAATTGTAAAAATACAACACTTTTAGAACAGTTTAGTAAAAAGTATTAGAAAAAATATATAAATAAAATTAAGTTTTGAATTTTTAATTCCAATAAAAATATAGTTTTATCGTCGTTTTTTCTATGAAGCTAAATCGAATGAGGAAGCTAAGATGCCAAGATCAAATTTCATTGGAAATTTAGACCATCAGGCTCTAGTTACGAGGAAGAACGACACAATACAAGAGAGCGACGGAGTATCACACCTTTCTCAAAGAAAGGTACGTGACAGATGCCAAGATCATATTTCATTGGAAATTTAGACCATCAGACACTAGTTTCGAGGATGAACGACACAATACAAGAGAGAACCAACAACTTCCTAAATTATATTAAACAAATTATCATAAGTCACGATTATTTTACCTTCGATGTATTTTTACTGTTTTGAATTTGTGACACCTAAGTAAAATAATGATACATGAATAAACCGAGACCATGTCCGAATGAGAGTGGTCCTAGAATAACTAAGAAAGAGTTGAAAGAAATGAAAGTTACTACCTATACCAACAATGTGCACATTCTCGATGATTCAATCACAGAGCTAAGCATGTTTTACTTGAAGTAATTTTACGTTGGATGACCTCGTGGGAATTTTCCTACGATACATGTGAGCGAGACCAAAACATGCTAAAAGGGCTCGGGTTGGTCAGTGAGGATGATCTTCACTTCTAGAAGCGATGAGTAAATAACGTGACCGAGACTAAATTATCAACAAATAGGAAGGAGAGTAAGGCAAGTTATTCTGAAATAAGCACATGGAATCAAAGAAACTCCACTGAGCTAAGCCTCCGCCCCATTTTCCCTTTTCTTCCAACCAAAGTTTCTCACACTGTTTCTCTCTATAAAGCTCTAACCACTGATTTGAACATCACAAGTGTGCTTGGAAATTAATCACTTTCATTGAGCAAAGAACACAACAAGGACGAGAAATGGCAGATTGGGGGCCAGTTTTTGTGGCTGTCATTCTGTTTGTTTTGCTAACACCTGGGCTGCTTTTCCAGCTTCCTGGAAATCGAAGGTGCTTGGAGTTCGGCAACTTTCACACCAGCGCTGCTGCTATCGTCGTTCATTCTCTTCTCTACTTCGGTCTCATTTGCGTCTTCTTGCTCGCCATCAAGGTTCATCTCTACATTGGTTAATCGAGCTTCACCTCTACTTTTGTTCGTTTCTAATTCTTCCACCAAATGCATAGTCACTTCAACTTTGTTTTGATTAGTTTGTTCTAAATATTCGGTCGATGTCCTAGGTTTTCAAGTACGTGTAGCAAAATTGTTGAGTTATCGAACATATAGTAGGCTTCATCATTTCAAAGTTGTGCTATCTTGAGGCTTTGTATTGGCTATGGACGTTTTTCTTTAAGATCTGAACTTTATCCTTCGACCCATTTAACAAAACTCACTTGAATGAATATGGTTAATCTAAACGAACATAAAGTTGAACAATTTTAGTGCACTTGGGGTTGGGGGTTGGATGTTACACAAACAAATAGCTCTAAAAGTGTGAGATCCCACATCAACCGGAAAAGGAACAAGTACCAACAAAGCTAGACAAGGATTGTGAGATCTCACATCGATTTGAGAAGGGAACGAAACATTTTTTATAAGAATGTAGAAACCTCTTCCTAATAAACCCATTTTGAAAACCTTGAGGGGAAGCCCAAAAGAAAAAGCTCAAAGAAGACATGTTAGTGGTAGACTTAGACTGATACCTGAGAGTCTAAGCTAAGATTTCTCTGAAAGACGAAACCTATAACAGCCCAGATCCACCGCTAGCAGATATTGTCCTACTTGGACTTTCCCTTTCGGGCTTCCCCTCAAAGTTTTAAAACGCGTTTGCTAGGGAAAGGTTTTCACACCCTTATAACGGGTGTTTTGGTCTCCTCCCCAACCAACGTGGGACATCACATGGGACATCACAAAACCTCCGACACCATGAAAATGAACCTTCACAATTGTTACGACATTTTTTATTTCTTTTTGTTTTATAGCCTAACAGGCATTTCAAACAGTGGCAGTTACACATATGGACTCAAAGTCTTAAAAGCAGGAAGATACACAACACAATGTCACTCCACAACCTCAAAAAACAACAAACGGTGGTAAATAATTCAAACTTCATCTTGCCTATATGTTTCTAGAGGCAGCACTATTCATTCACAAGGGCACCTTTACTCGGTTTCTCCTGTAAGCCCCGCGCGCTCCATCCTCTCGCAAACAATTCAACTATCTGGTTCGGTTGAACCAAGGTTTCTTCATATTTACATTTGTTTCCAAGCTGCAGCAACAATAATAACAAATAAACAAACTCAATAACCTACAATATTCTAAGCACCAGTCACACGAACATACGCATTTATAAGAAACCGAGCTTTCGTTGAGAACAAGCACCGATCACACAAGCCCACAAAACAATCAAATTCGTCGATACCGCAGAAAATTGCTTTAGCAACTTCAAACATCAATCTTTGGACAAAAGCAGAGGCACAATTCACTTTATGCTTACAAAAAAACTACCCCCAAATACCTGACCTAAACATTCAAGCATGCTCGTACTAGGCGACTGCAAGGAATTCAAATGCATCGATGGAAGCACGAGAAAATAAATGCCAACGTATGGGCGATATTTCTCACTCTTCCACTTGATAAAGAACTAGCCTAGCTAAATTTCCCTTTCAGATTTATATATGCGTGTGCATTCATTAAGAAAAATCACAGAGCAAAATCACATCAATTTATTGGAAGGAAAGTTCACAAGTTATTGAACAAGTTATTGAATATCGGGGTCATCTAGACCCATCCTGCGAATTATTCTCACGGCCCACCTCATTAATTCACATAAAAGCTCCAAAGTGCTATCATATTTTCAACAACTTGAACCCACAGATCTTAGAGGGTATCCCCATCTCAAGCCCTTACCACACAGCCACACCTACCATATCTGACAAGCCTTAGAGAAAATTGAATTCAATTAGTTCGGACTTGTTTATTCTTGAATTGGGACCGAGACAAAAAAAGCTCTTCTATCGAAGAAGCCCCACGACGTATAAATGGTCGGGTTCAAAATTTCCCACAAAATCTGATACTTTGTATATCAGAAATGGGCAAGATGTGTCAGGTTCAGGATATCTTTAATAATGAGTCAGATTGCACCAATATCAATCCAAGAAACGAAGTAAACATCAATTATTGACAAGATAATTGGCAAGGCAATGAACAAGATACAACGAATATTTCACAAGCAGAAGCCATAAGAGAATTCAGAGATAAAGATAATATGCAAGTATTGATGATAACAAACATCCAGCAAGAAAATTCAGATAAGGAAATGAAACAAAAATAAAATCCACTAGCAGAAGGAAACAGAGGCAGATGAGAAATTCACCATTGAAATCTTTCCGGGGCATTGGAGCGGTTAAACAACAAAGCATAGAGCGTCCCAACATCGAGAGGCTAGAAACGATCCCAACCACATAGAAAATCATCGCGAAAACGAGAATCCAAGGCATCAAGATGAAGCCCAGAAAGAAAGTAACCGATCCACAGAGCATCAAAGCCAGCGAAATCCCCAAAAGCAGCGACGCAAATCCAGCCGATGTCATCTGCGACGAAGGCAAAATTCTCGACGACGACGACGAAATAACGGAAGACAATTCCAGAACATGATCGGAAAAAGCTACCGGCGGGGGCGGCGATCGGAGAATTTTCAAAAGCAGAGACGAAACCTCATGCAAAACCCCAACTCCAGATTGCGGATCTTCTTGAGACCTACTCATCATCACTATCCTTCACCTAGAAACAAGAACAACAAGAAGAAAACCCCAACAAAGAGCGCAAAATCAAACGATCTCCGCAGATCGCTAAAGCCGAGACGATTGGCTAACCATAAACGATGAACCAATCAAATCAACGAAATCCCAGAACGGTTTTGGTGGTGAAATTCATAGCGGCTTCGATCAGAAGAGAGTGCAAAGAGAAGGTTGGATTAACGAGCTGGGAAACGGAAAATGGGAGTAAATTAGAGAGAGAAGTAGGGTGTGAAATGGTGCGGCGAAAGGAATCCGAGTCCAGTTAATGGATTTTCTCGGATTAAAGTCTGTTTGGATGGAAAGAAAGGAAACTAAAAGAAAAAGGAAAACTATCCGCACCGAGAATCGAGGAAGCCAAAAATGGAAAATTCAGAGAAGAACAACGCGTGGATTAGACACGGTGGAGAGCAGGTCAAGCGGGATTTAGAGGAGTCCGGATCATATGGGACCTTATCCAGCGGAAAAGTGAAGAATTATAGAATGAATTAACGGATAAATTGATATTATCTACCAACTAAATTAAATTATTTAATTATAAATTTAGTCGAAGTAAATCGTTACTAGTCATGCCTAACCCTAAACCCTAATAAGGATATTAGGTACTATGTGTTAATTAGATGATATTTAACTTGTAGTTAAGCCGTTTTATTGACAGCTTCATTCATGTCCACTAGATAATGAAATCAACTTGAATGGCAATACTTCTATAAGACCATGGGTCGAGCTATGAGCTGCCAATTGTTAAGTGACTTTTAATGGGTCTAGATTCTACAATTCCTAGTCGTTTTAAGATTGGCATGGACGTCAGCTACCTCTTAGTTCTTGTCTTTGGAGCAAGGAGAGTCACTTCGCGGAGAGCAAGGACAGCCATTTCGTGGAAATTGTGAAAATTCTGTCGTAAGTTTCACGAAATTCCATTCTCCTTCTGTCTCACTCAAATGAATGGGTAGGGAGAGTATACGAAAAACAAAGATAAGAAAGTCTTAATATTTTACGGACGAGCTGCCTGCAAAATGTTAGGAATCACGAGTCTCTACAATGTATTCCTCACTTATAAACCCATGATCTTCCACTAAATTCACCAATGTGGGACTCACTCTCAATAATCCTCAACAATCATCCCCTCGAACAAAGTACACCCTTGTTCGACACTTTAGTCACTTTTGACTACCACCTTCAAAGCTCACAATTCTTTGTTCAATATTTGAGGATTCTATTGACATGGTTAAGTTTAGGGCATGACTCTCATGCTATGTTAGGAATTACGAGTCTCTACAATGGTATGATATGGTCCTCAGTTATAGATTCATGATCTTCCACTTAATTAACCAATGTGAGACCGACTCCCAATCATCCTCAACACAAAATACTTGCTCCCAAGGTGTGTAATGCTCTCCCGATATCTTTTTCTCACCAGACAATCATGATGAAAGTTATTTGATGCTATAATTTTGGGTGGGGCGTTGCTTTAAATTATTTTTATCATCCATTTTATTTTTAAAATTATCTTAAAATATAGGGTACAATTTAACAAAATATATTTTTGTATAATATTGGCGAACTAAAATATAATAATAAATAAAAAGGGTTTAAAAATGGGTTTAAAGGGAGAAAAAAAAGGAGGTATAAGTCAAAATAGACCTTTTCGACAAGGGGAAGGGATCTGTCAGAGGGAGAGTAAATAAAGTTTCTGTGAGGCTCACGGAAAGAACACCAGACCGAAACGACTTCGGCGGTCATTTCGATCTTCTCCTTCCTCTTCGTCTCTCTCATCCGCTTGCCATTCTTCCATTGATCGCCCAAACCGCTCGCCATGCGGTTTGATTGCGATTGCTGTTGCGGTGCTTTTTGTTTCTATACGCTTCTTCTTCCATTGGCCATCGCGCACAGGCAAGAGCATTATATGGATCATCCGGTGAGACGATTTCGTTCTCAAACTGTAGCTGCATCGATCGGATTATATATTATTGTGTCTGGCAAACGTGTTTGGATTTGCTCTCATTAGTTATAGGTATTGCGACGCTGCAATTCGTGTTTGATCGATCGATGGCGGTAGTTTCGAAGGCTGTGTTTGTCTCTGTTTAATTATTATGATCAGATTGGCTCCTTCTGCTACTGCATGTGAGAAGTGGTTGGCGGTGGAGATCGTGGTATCTCGCTGAGCCAGGTAATGATTGATGATTAGTTGGAATTATATTGTTGTTTTGTGATTCTTCCTTGTCGACTCGTTAATTATAGACGATTTCTCAATTACTTCATGATCTTATTGTTCAAATCTTGACGTTTCGCCGGGCCGCTGATATGCGTCGCCGGTATCATGGACGATTAACACAGTATAGTGATGTTCTAGCGAAGATCGACTTAGAAACTAGAATATTGTTTTCTCTGTTTTTCAGACTTTC